CAAAATACTGTTCTTTTTAGCAACATCATATGACCCCTTTAACATTATCTGACCTTGGACATTCTTTACAATATTAATGCACTGAAACATATATAGTGCATTTAACTTTTAACATCAATAACGTAAAAAAATTCTACCATTATATAATGATCATTAGTTAATTAAAAAGCTAGTAGTGGGGAAAAAAACTTAACCTTATGTATTATACATTTGTTTTTGTGTACAGCTGCAGTAAATACTACCCAGAACACCCTAGCAACCACTCAAAATACTCTTGAAACCTCAAAACAACACCCTAGCAACATGGCGTTAAGTTTTTCCAATGCAGGACATACTTTGTCTTCATACAATTTTTAAATCTAGTTAGAAATACAATAATACTTTAAAATAGTTAGAAATATCTTGAGACTATGATTTTCATATTCATATTTGAATATACCAGAACTTCTGGTCTGTTAAGTATTATATTAATTCATATAAAAAAGGCTATTGTAAAGGGTTACTGAGGTATTTATATTTTTATTTGTATAGATATTCCCGGAATTAATTTCTTCATTTATTCCATAAATAGGTATTTAAAAAATACTCAATAATTACATGTGATAAGACATGAACCAAATCAACCAGCCTTGAAATGAATCACATTACAAACTCATTTAGAAGGAAAAAAAATATTTTTAATTGAAAAAGGTTCAGGACTTTTTTTTTGTAAATGAGGGAATAAACTACTCATCCCACAAAGCATTGCACATTTATCTGAAAAAAACTTTAAAAAACTTGGTTGCCATTAAAATATGAAGCAGCACAACTGTTTTCAACATTGATAGTAATAAGAAATGTTTCTTCAGCAGCAAATCAGCATATTATAATAATTTCTGAAGGATCATGCTACACTGAAGACTGGATTCATGATGCTGAAAATTCAGCTTTACCATCACAGGAATAAATTACATTTTAAAAATATATTAAAATAGAAAGCAGTTCTTTTAAACTGTAATAATATTTCACATTACTGTTTTACTGTATTTTTGATCAAATAAATGCAGCCTTCTTTCAAAAGCATCTTTCAAAAGCATCACCAACCCCAAACTTTTGAACGATATAGTGTATTAATTTAATTTCAAAGCTCATGGTAAGTCTGTCTTTAAAGGTTTATGTGCTACCACTAAATAAATATATATATCTCACTTAGAGGAAGTCTCACCTGGTCTTTAAGCTGTTTGACGGAGTGCTGCAGGGTGAGGATGTGGCCGAACAGAGGGCTCTGCAGGGCTTCCTTCAGTGTGCCGAGTCTGTCGCTGTGGGTCCACTCTTCTCTCTGCACGAGCTTGGACTGAAGTCTTTCCAAGGCCTGGAGCACCTGCTGCCGCTCGGAAGCAGACACTGAGAACACACACAATCAAGATATTAACCATGCTAAGTCGGATTAAATCATTATATGCTTGCTTGGATGAAAATCACAAAAGTGAGTGATACCTGTCGGTACGTTCTCATACATTGTCGTTCTCTTGAAAATTCAGTGCAGATTGATCTGTGAAAGTGGATTAAAAACACTTTTAAGCTTCAACTTGATTTCAAAATTGATCAGTCAATAATGGCAAGTTACTAATACTAATTTAACAAGGCTACTAAATTGCTTTTTAAAGCAATTTTATGGAAAATATATACATTAAAATTGTTCTTTTTGAGTGTAATTTCCGTTAAAAATGATAAAAATTGCAGAAATACTACCACTTATAATTTAATGGATGACACAGACCAAATAGTTGAAGTTTCAAATTTGTTATGTAGAGAAACACATAATAATAATAATAATAATGCAACTACAATAGTGGTTATTATAATTTAATGAGCTGTACCAAACATTTTCATATTTATTCTACACACACACACACACACACACACACACCAAAAGTTCAATATAACTCATAATTAAACTTAACAAATAGAAACGACTTTTCAAAGTTATATTCATTTCCATGTTGACCTTGACTTTTTTCAATTTCCATAAAAATGGGAACCATGCAAAGCTATAATGCATAAATCATCAATCTTTCTCCAAAAGATGGTAGGAAATCTTTGTTTTACTAAATTTATGCTGGCATCATGCATATATTTTCATGTGATCAAACAGAAATGAATGCATCTTATTAATGTAAGACTCAAGTATGGATATATATAACCTGTAATGATATCTTTTAGAAGATCAGTTGGTAGTTTCTGTTCACGTGAGCAGCCAACTATACAAAAGTGAGAGTATCTACCTTACTTACCTACAATATTCGTCCATACACTTGGTCTTGGGGTTAAATCAACTCTCTGTCAATTTGGAATCCCTCACAAAACACAATCCTGCATTCCAAGTATTGTTTAGGGCTGAGACGGAGTCCTGTTTTGTCTGTACGTGTGTGTTTACACCTGAGCGAGCCTCACCTGGAACCAGGAAGTGCGTGAGCATTCAAGTTTCCGTGAACTTTATTTAAGTTTAAACACAAGTTAACAAAGAAACCATTATGCAACTGAAGGATAAGGAGATGTTTTATACTACTACTCTTCAATTAAAGCATTATTTGTTTAATGCCATATAATATAAATTACATAAACGCAATCAAACAGGTGCATAGGCGTAAAACACCGAGTCACCGCTGAAATCAGTGCTCTAAAAACTTACTGACAGTCTAAATGAGACGTTAAAGAATCATTTTATCAATCGAAACGTGCTTTGTTTTCAAATATCAATAATAAATCATAACTTTGAAAAGAATGAAAATACACAAACGTGCTCCTGCTTCCCAATACAAACCCCATTATGTGACACAGGCTAGCGCAGTTAGCCGGTTACAAAGTTGATTATCAGCATCAAATACCGCGAATAAGTTGAACCGACACTTGGTTTTAAAGACAAACTTGCTCTAACGAAACAACCTGGCTTTGTTAAGTACATGCATAAAGTTAAAGGCGTTAAATAAGAGAATTACGAGAGACTTACACGCTATGTGTGCGGCGAATCTAGTGCACTGTTTCTTTAAGAGCTCCGTCAGTCACGTGACAGTTCAACATGGCGTTACACTGGAGGAGTTTGTTGCGCTTTCGCTCAACAACACGGCCGCTGATCATCTTCACCTTCTGCCTGACTGTCATTCACAGCCTGGGGAATGATGTGGACAACTGTGATAAACTGCAGCTGGGACAATATCCTTTCAAAATCGCGTAAATATATTGCGATCGTTTAAATAGTAGCAGGCTAGCTAGCACTGTCGATGTTACTGGTGATTGATTTTAATATAAATGTACTAATTTAACTTATAAATCATTATTTGACATAATTACGGCACACATATTAGGTGTTGTGTTCTAGATTTGTGATTCAATCTTGTATTGTGTGATACAGAAAGTTATACTCATTATGCCTTAGATTGCATGACCTATTTGAACATTTCAGATGGTTTTGTTACAAAAATGCACACATTGGTTACATTTCTATGTCTATAAGTGTTAAACTGACGAATAGTAAACGACACTGACTGCCACTGATTGTCTGTGATTGCTCAAGAGTCATTCATCCATCACTAATGGAATTCAGCTTCACTCAATGTTGTTTCATGAATTAAATACCACTTAATTTCTCCTTAACAGTGCTCATGTATATGTGTAAAGAACCCAAAATAGATGATGCAACTCAAGAACCAGAAAACTGCAAGGACCGGTTGGCTTGGGGTGGGTCGGCTCACTCGGCTGTGTACATTTGAACTACATTTAAACAATTTAAAATGCTGCTGTTGTAGTGTGTAAATATACATTTAGTCAATAATTGAATTATGATAACAATATAAAATAATAAATAATTTCATAATATTTTTATAATCATATATAATATAGATAACATTATACATTTACATTAAATAGTATACGTTTATATTATGTATAATTTATTATCATTTTACATTTTTATAATAACTTTAATAATATAATCATGTAATACAGTATTATATAATATATAGTACTTTTATGTATTGTAACATTATGGTTTTAAATGTTTAAAAAAATGTATTATGTAAATTATGTACACTATAAAATGTAATTGTTCTACACTATATATAGGTGTACATTTATATCATGTAAATAATATATAATGTATAATTAAAGAGTGTATTATAGTACTTAACGTATACATATATAATATTATTTGTAATATGATCAGTATAGTGTGTGAATATACATTTTATAAATAATATTACAATTATAATATAATTATTTTAAATAATATATATTTTATAAGGTATAATAAATATTACATTTGTAACTTGTTTTTAAAATATATTATTATACATTTATATTAAACATGACATATTTTATAGATAATAATAATAATTTTTTTAACTTTTATAATAGTTATACATAATCATATAATACAATATTATGTAATATAATATTTTATGTATTGTAACATATATTTTAATAATTATAATTATGCACTATAGTTATATATTATACACTACAATGTTGTAATCATTTTGTGTACTGTTATTATGTAATATAATATTTGATGTATTGTAACTATATATATATATATATATTAATTATTCACTATAATTATATATTATGCACTACATTGGTGTAATAATTTTGTGTGCTAATGTTATGATTTTGTATAATTTATTTATTATAATAATTGTATATTTACATTTAGTCACTTGGCAGACGCTTTTATCCAAAGCGACTTACAAATGAGGACAATAGACCTTCCTGGCAGGTTAAGAATCATAAATATCTTTTTTTGGAGGATGTTCCTTTCAGCCAATCGTGGTGAGCTTTTAATCCACCAATCAAAACGCTCTTTACTGAACAGACTCAAGGAGCTCAACGCTGCGCTTGTACTGTGCATTGTTTCTATGATCAGGTCCTTGATGTAAAGACATTTTAATGGGAACTCTTTTTTTTTTTTTTTTTTAAATAAAGAATAAAAAAGATAAATATAGATAAAGTAGAATTAAAATAGACTAGAAAGTGTTAGAGTTAGAGGGTCACAGATGTGTAGAGGTGGAACAGATGTGTTTTTAGTCGTTTCTTGAAGATGGCTAAG